CTGATTACCACAAGGTGGCTGTGTTTCATGCAGTGAAACAGAATGTCTGTTTTTGTTTTCTATAATCAAATTTCTAAAAAGTTTTTTTTTTTACATTGTGTGTGTGTGTGTGCGTGTGCGTGTGCGTGTGTGTGTGTGTGTGTGTGTGTGTGTGTGTGTGTATGTGTGTGTATCTGTGTATAGTGATGTGTACATGAGTGCAGGTGCCCTTGGAGGCCAGGAGATACCTGATATTACATACAGTGGGGCTGGGGTTCCAGGTAGTTTGACCCATCTGGTGTGAGCACTAGGAACCAAATTTGTGTCCTATTGAAGAGCAGTATACACTCTTAACTGATGAGCCATTGCTCCAACCCCTTTATGTAACTTATTTTTGTCCAGGAAAGACCCTCAACTTATGTAAACTCAGAGATAGATAGCCCTAGTCCACCATTGTTGCAGTCAGGAACAAATCGTTACACTGTGGAGGCTCGGAAGTGGGAGCCCTTCGAGAGAGGACTGAAAGGCATGTACAAGAGCACTTGATGGATAAAGAAATAGATTCTCCTCTAGGGCTGACGCAGGCTCCCACCCTAGCGTCTGTAGCATGCAAGACTAGAAGGTTCCTTGCTTTTTTAGATTTATTGATGAAAGCAGATGTCTATGTGTATATGCATGCTGTTGTGAGTTTGTGTGCCCTGTGTGCATGCAGGTGACCAAGGAGTTGGAGCTAGAGTTTCTGGTGTTTGTGAACTGCATGCTGTGGTTCTGGGAACTGAACCTGAGTCCTCTGCAGAGCAGCAAGTGCTCTTACGTGCAGAGCTACCTGCCCAGTTTGTGTTGTTTTGTTTTGTTTTTGAGACAAGATGTTGCTGTGTAGCCTCGGCTGGTTTTTGAGATCATGAAATCAGCCTCCCGAGTGCCAGGGTTACCAGTGTGCATCACCACACCTAGCCCCTCCACATTGTTAAGTGTCTTTCCAGTTTGCTACTTACACTTAGAAGGGCTTGTGTCTTTGTAGGAGGTGACATTTTCAGGTTAAACAGCTGAGTTTCAGAATCCAGGCGAGCCTCTGAGCCATTGTG